GTAGTATATATATATATATATATATATATATATATATATGGGGTAGGGTGGGGTGGAGAGAAGAGGGGGAAGCAGGCTCATCAGCTTCCCTTAGCATCGTTATCATCAGGGGAAAGATGTAAAAGGCTATTTATGTTTTACAATCGCTTGAAAATTGTTGTAAATTCCCCCCTTTTTCTTTTTCTTTTTAAACTTTTGTTCTCTTATTCCTTTTTTTTTTTTTCTGTTCCTTTGCGATTGTTACAAAGTAAACTTCTGCTGCCACACACACACACACACAAATGAAAAAAAAACCCACACACCAACTAAAGCAGAAGAATAGTTAACTAATGAAAAACAACAATAATAGCAAATTTGTGACGACACATTCGATACTATGATGTTGTATGCGGGCCTATTCCTCCTCTTCTAAGCCAAAGGAGCTTCCCTCAGTACTGTCATGGGACGGAGACAGCTCACATTCAGCTTCTTGATCAAGACGCTCCTGCAGGCTCCGCATCTCCTCGAGGCGCTCCGTGGTTGGAGGAGGATTTCCAACAGGGGCTACACTAGGGGATCCACCGGGTGCCAGTTTCGTATTGATGATGTGCGGCTTGCGCAGTGGGCCTTCAGTATTCATCCCCATAGATATACGGCCCAGAACTGGACGCTTCCGCTCCGGCGCCAAGTTGGTTGTCGCCATCCCAGTCAATGGCGCTGAATCCGAGGGTCCATCTATGGGGTGTTGATTGTTGTTGCTGACACTGCTTTTACTTCCCACTGCGGAGTTGAAAAAAGAGCCGGTCCGTGGTGTCGGTTTGCCACGGGACTGACTAAGCTTCATGTCTTCACAAAGACGCTGCATTTGTTGTCCCATGGAGTACGTGGAAATATTTGAGAGGGAATTAATTGAAGCGTCCGCGACAGGTTCACATGGTGTTGATAGCACACTTCGATCTCTCAGACTTGTCCCGAAAGCGGCGCGAGGCGGGTTGGGAACCCCCACAGATAAGACATCAAAACGTCGGTAACGCTCCTCCGTTGTCTGCGGTGTAGTGGGAGCCGGAGAGCTCACCCAGGAAGGACGCGGGGAACCGAACTGGGTCCGGGCCTGCGCCAGGATAGCGTCATATACGAGCTGGTGCTGCACATCTGTCGTGGGGTAAATACGCTGAAAGTTGCATAGTTTTGCGTCCTCGCGAGCGCGGCGTTCCTCAATGAGGTTAGCCTCCTCCATTACCTGTTCCTGAGTACCCCCTGTGAGAGACAATGGCGTCTTCAACAGTTGTTGCTGCGGCAGCGAATTCGTGGTGGGCGTCGAGGTAGACGCTGTGATGTCAGTGCCCCGCTCACTTTTGGTTCCCGTCACATTTTGTGCGGCCAGCGGTTGACACATCACACGCTGCACAAAACGATTCCGCTCCTTCTTTTCGACCTGTCTCTTGTCGGATGCCTTGATATCAATAATTTCCCAGACCTCTTTGATGAGGGCGTGTTTGATGTCGTAGTCCAGCGGGGTGTCGGTGGCAAGCGACGGTGTGTGGTTGACTTCCATCAGCCACGGTTTCATCTTGTGATCAATGAGGATGTCAAACCCCAGGACCTCAAAACAGTTGTAGCCGTCATTTGGCCGTGAAAAGCAGGAGTTGTAGACACTGGTGATCTGCGGCTGTGCAACAAGGATGGTTTTGCAAATGAGGTGGGCAACGGCCGCCCAAAACTCCACTGGACACTTTCCTGATGCCTCTAACCATTCATTAAGAAACTTAAAGTTACGTTTGCTGCCAAGATGACCATCCTCAGCGTTATTGTTAAACACGTACTCCGGACTGTGCTTGTTCACGGCGTAGTTCGTCAGATGCTTGCATGCGTTGCGGACATTGTTGTCGTTGGGTTTTTCGTACAACTCGGCACATATACGCACGAGACCGTCGTTGAACATGAAGATGGAGGGGGCGCGGATGGAGGTTAGCAACACGTAAACACGAAGGTCAAACTTATGCCCCTCCAGAAGCAGTGGCCTCGTGACGTACTCCTGCACAACATAGTTGTCCACGTCTTCCACGGCGGACAATGGATCTCGCGAGATGACGATACCACGGCCCTGACAACCCGAATTGGGCTTCAGGATAAAAAACTTGGACACCTTCTTGGATCGTAGCGCCATCACGAACCCCATAAATTGATGCCGCTCACTACGAAGAGACCACGTTCTCGGGTAGAAGAGAAAGTGCGAGGGAAGCGCTCGACGCATCTTCCCAAGTGTGATGCCCAGGTGACCCTTGCGGCAGAGTAGGTACATCGAAGGAAAGTGATTGGTACGCTGCCAGTTTGCCAGGCGTACCAGACGCGTAAGCGGAAGTACTGTGTCGGACCATACAAGATTAAATTGATTTTTTTCCAACTCATCCTCAGTTTCCTGCGTTCTAAACCCCTGCTCCTCTGCAATAATCCGGAGAAGCGAGTATTTGCACAAGTGGAGGTTGACTATTTTACGGTTCATTCGTGAGCATTTCGTGCCGTTCGCCTTGACGCGGAGAGACACCTGCCCATGCTTGGCAATGGCACACTCAAGGTCGGCCAGACGCAGTGTCGTTGTAGGTGAGAGAAGGCCAACGGCTGGGTGAGCGGAAGTATAGATAGAAGGCCCTGGTTTATGCTCAGCATTTTCGTCTTCTTTGGCAAATTTGTTGATTTTGTCGTTACCGTAAACATTACCGCCAATGCGACGCCGTGATGAGCGTCTGGCAGAGCTCTTATCGCCATCTTGCACTTCAACAAATGCTCCTTCGATATGCCGTACCAAGCTATTTTTTCTTCGGTGACGGTTAGAAGAGCAAAAACTTAGAAATGCCGCGCCGTTGCTGCCGGCGTGCGCCCCACTCTCATAGTTTCCTTCAGATGTGCTTGCCCCCGTGACTCTCGCAGACAGACTGGACGACACAATACGCGTAGGCTGCAGTGAGTGCCTGTGGGTGCCAACTCTCGCGGTGTGAATGGGACCGTGCTGCGTCACAACGATGATGTGCGGCTTCCCAGTGCCGGACTCCCCGCACTCAGCTGGGGCTTCCTGCTGGGGCTGAATCTGACTGTTGCCTCGCCGCCGCCGCCGCAGGACCACCAAGGCCGGCACCTCCGTCCGCGACATCACGCGGGAACCCGCAGCCGCGACGACTGATAAGGTCGCGCTGGTGTCCGTGACCGTGGTGTCCCCATGCAATGGCATGGGGGATACAACCTCTTTTGATCGCAAACTCGTCGCCGCTATCCCAATCCTCAGTTTACCAATCACCGGTTCCGCCACGTGTGATGAATTTCACAGCACGAAGAAAGAGAGAGAAAAAGGCAACAGGAAATAAAAACAACAACCACAAAACAAAAACACGTCCATACGAAAAAAAAAAGGGGGGGGGGAGCAAAAAAACAAGAACAACAACAGAGAGGAGTGGTAACAAAACATAGGTGCTTAACACGAGCAAGAACATTGGTGACTGCGTGAGGCCAAGGTAGGAAAAAAAACAAAGTTGTATTTTCCTCCTGGGATATTTTTTATTCTTCCTTTTCCCTACCTCTTTCCCTTCCCCCCACCAACTGCAACTGTACACAAACACATCTAAGCCCGCACACAAAACCCCTACCAGGGGCTGCTGTAACACTCACTCTGTACATTTTTTTTTCTCCTCAGGCGGCGCCATGACGACATCACCACCAGCTGCAGCAGGTTCAGCTAATGGCACAATGAGAACATGAGGCTTCGACATGGCAAGCAGGGCCATATGAAGCTCCTCTGGGAGAGTTGAGGGAGACACCACAATGTCCGTCTTGTGACGCTGGAGAAATTTTACAACCTGACCCGCCGCATTCCCTGCTGTCACCACGGCCACCTGCTTGGTGGTGCGCAGCGCACACAATGAAACCTCTGGCCATTGCTGCTGCTCCGCGGCACTGTCCACCTCTTCAGCAGCTGGCAAGGGCTCTCCGGCATCCACTACAGCTTCCTGAGGCGTACCCTCGCCAGGCGTTACCCCGTTTTTCTCCAGTGAAGGTGGAGCATGCGTCACGGGAGAAGCAAGAGGAGGAGGAGGGTCCTCGGCATCCACGTCGTCAGCCTCTTGCAAATTCATTGCCGTTGTGCTTCTTTGAAGCATAGCCCGCAGCGTCTGCGAATACCTCTCTACCTCCTCAGGTGAAGTGGCACTCTCAACAACAAGAACGGCACTCACAGTGTCCATGCTCCTTTCTCTACGACATCCCAAGGCATACTGCACCACACTGCAATCTCGCTCAAGCGCCTGAGCATCATTGGATGCGGGAACGAGCACAACAACATAGCGCACCATAGCAGTAGTAGGCCTCATCGCACGGCCATTGTTCTTTATAAACCACAAAATGTTTGTTTGACGCAAATCACGAAGAACAGTCTTGGCGACAAGTCCGAGGAGAATGCTCTTCCCATCCATGGAATTGCCTGCCCCCAACAGAATGGTTTTTGCATGATGGTGCAGCGCCCGTTCTTTGGCGTACAAGGCAATGGCAGTGGCGCGGCTTTGTGCCTCTTCTTTTTCCGCATCTCGTGCAACAGCCTCCACCTCTGAGTCTGTTGGCATCGATGTTTGCTGCTGCTGCTGCTGCTTCTGCTGCACCGCCAGCTCCTTTTTTGTAAGTGGGGCCTTTGCGGAAACCTGCGACATTGGTGCAGCGGACAGGAACGTCAAGTGCGGGACCGGATCCGCCAAAATCATTGTTTCTAATTTGTAATTAAGAGTGTCCCGAGTCACTTTGCTCTCGGTGATCGTCTCGAGTGTGCCCTTCACAACCTGGGAGAGCGGGAGACGGTTCAGCGAGTGCGCATCATCCAGTGGCAATGGTTTATCGGGTGACTCCCTCGACTGCGTAGGCCGCAGCGCAGCATCCCTACTCCACGCATGCACAAGGATTAGTTGCTCGCCGTCGTGCTGCCGCATCAGATTCCCCGGGACGGCGGCCCACCCGGCCGCCTTCAGAGAGGCTGGCGCGCCGTCGCACATGACCACCACCGTCATTGATGTTTTGTTCGCCTCTATTTTCTTTCCTACCGCTGTTCTCTTCAAACCGATTTGCCGCAATAACCAACACAACATAGGATAAGGAGGACGGGCATTCGCGCGCGCATACAGCAACAATCGTGTGAGGGTTGGCGGCGAGCCATCCTACGAGACGAACGCGTGTGTCTGTACGGGTGTAGAAAACAATAACAGCAACAACAGAGCTGAGATCACGCGGATGACACCTTAATAAACAACAACAACAGCCACAAAAAAAAAAACAGGACCGTGCAGTGTGACCTGCCCTCTCTCTCTCTTTCCCTTTCCGTGCCTCGCTTAACCGACAGTGCAGGCAGCACCCTCACAGCCCTCGCCTTTTCCTCCGCCCAATTTGTCTCTCGCGTGGTTGCTGTTACTGCCCCCACTCGCCTTTTCTTTAACTTTCTTCACAAAACACTTATTTTTTTTTTTTGTGTGTGTGTGTGTGTGGGTGTGTTCCTCTTTTTTGACCTGTCATTTTACGTCTCCTCTCTCATGACATACACCACCGACCCCACCGCTTCCCTTTACTTAATTCTTCCGGCATCTGTGAAAGCATCACAAGTCAAGCTCTCGAGGAAGTGGGGTTGCCATGACCCAGCCACCCTTATCCGGCTTGATCCCCTTCACCGCTTCCTTCTCCCGCCACACCTGCCGCATGATTTCATAGAGCGCCTTGGTGTCCAGTGAGCAGTATTCTAGAAGCTGAATCCGCAGCGATGCCCATGCCTTGTCTCGCAACTCTTTGCGAGTTGGTGGCAACAACACCTCTCGTTTCTGCTCCTGCTCAAGCGTGTCACTCGCCTGTTGACGGTGGGAGTCTCTCATGGAAACCTGACGAAGATCCTTCAGCGAGCCCCCGCCCTCATGATGATACCACAAGCGATACACACCCATTGCATTTTCGCCCTTCTGCTCATCTTGTCTGCCACCATTGCCCCCGTCCGTGTCCGCCGCGTCACTGTCATCGCGGCTTATCTCCTCACCAAAGATACCGTACTGAAAGTCCGGACAGAGCGCAGGGAGAACCTTCTTCAACGAATTTGAGCCCTGGGCATTGGGGTGAACAATGCCGCGCTTAAACAAATCCAATGTGTCCAGAAAGTAGAACTGCTTGATGTCCTCCTTGTGCTCATCCACCAATTGACCGAGCTTCTCCAAACACGATTTTTCAAAACTAGCAAAGTGGGCAATAAAGCAGCCATCATATGGATGAACAGGCTCCAGCAATGGGGTTTGTTTAGTTATGCGAAGAGGCTTGGGCGTGATCGTCGCCCGCCCGCGCTGTTTCATCCGTTTTGCCATCTCCTTCTCCTCTTGTTCTTGAAGCAGCTTTTGCTTCCTTATTTGCGCAAGTTCGCCCGAGGCCTCCATTGCATGCCGCTTCTTCTCACGTTCAAGATGCACAATGTGCATCAACTCCTTGACGCACCCACGCCGTGGATCAACGTTGGGCGAATACCCCTTGCCGAAGTGCAGGTAGTCGTAGTGGGTGGGTATCTCATTGAGAATGTCGACCTGAAACACATCAATGGAAAACTGAAATGGGGTGGGTTGGTACGCCACTACTTTTTCAAATGGTGGCAAAGCGAACTGCGTCGCCTCAAAGTCAATAAAAAACACCGGATATCGAATGCGGGAGAAGAAGTCATCAATTTCCTTTGGGTTCAGACACAGCATACCTGAAGCAACGGCCTTCACGTGACGCAGTTGCGGTGCAGTTAGTTTTATGGTCCCCTTCTTGTATTGATACAACACATCGCGTACGGTACGAAGCCCCTGCGTCCACCACATCGCTTTGCGTGAAATAGACGTTGAGGGGAGGGTAAAAAGGTGATTGTCAGACAGCTTCAACGGGTCTTCAATTTTGTTTGGCAGGCACAAACCCTCCGCAAAGAAAGGGCACACATCGCCACGGGGGCAGTGGGCACCTATAAACTCTGAGTACGCCGGCACACTGGGCAGGTGACTGTCATTGTTGTGGTCCACGGCATCTCTCGCTTCCTTCTTCTTTCTTGTCAACGAAACTGCGCTCTTCTTTCGGCCGCCTTTACCTTCAAGCGAAACCTGATCTTCCTCACCAAAAGTGGCCTTCACAATTGCACCATTGTGGTGCGCAAAGGTCGTCCACTTCTGCACGTTTGCTGCGTCATAACTCTGTTCGATAAGCCGCAATGTACGCGTGCGAATAAGAGCTTCTAAAAGTCTTTGCTGTGCCGCGAAGAGCTCCCGAAGTTCCGTTTCCTTCCTCTTTGCAACTCGACTAGAGGTACTACTGCCTAGGTGCCGATGGTCTAGACCACGTTTCTGCAGTATTTCCGCTTCCTTATGTAGATCCGCCACAAGCGGTTCCGCGCGCAGATTGATGCTGCCTAGATCAAAGGCTCCAGTAGCGCGATGATTAAAATTTGTGTCCGCCTCCAGCATATCTTCCAAGGACAGCCGCTGCACGTACTTCACAAGGCGTGACGGATCGCAATCCATGAGTGTCACGGGTCCGGGGAAAAATTGTCGAATATGCAGGAGGCCACTACGTTTTAAGTCAAGTGGCACCGCCACTTGAGCTGTGGATTCCAACCGGTGACCCTTGAGACTCTCCTCCGTCACGGTGTCGAGGTCAATGTTTAGGAAACGCTTGCGTATCTGGATTGGGATGTGAGCCTGGGTTATCCAGTAACGAAAGGCAATTGTTGTAAAGTGCAGACGCTGCAGACACTGCGCAAGACGCGTGGCATTTCCGAATGGGTCAATCACTGCCGCCGTCTCAAGAATAACCCACTGATTGTCTTTTGGGCGAAACCGCAATACAACTGGTCGTGCCCGAAGCATCAAAGGGCTCGCCGCACCATTTGGGGATATTATATTGCCACCAAACGGTGCAGCAAACGCGGGGCGGTGAATCGTTAGGGACGGTGCCTGCTCGCCCAACTGTGCGTGCACGGTCTGGAAGTACTTCACAAGGGTGTCTTCTGTCCGCTGCACCGCCTGATCAAAGTTCCGTTCATGCACAACGACGGCTCGACTACCGAACTGAAGGCGATCCCACCTCCGCGCGAGTTCGTTGAATGCCGCCCCATCATCAAGGCGCACGGCTTCTCCGATGGATACGTGGGGAATCAAGTCTTGACGGTTTTGCAGCAAGTAAAATTTCTTGGGGCATGTTAATGAGGCGGAGAACCCCCTAAAGGTAAGAATGGTGGGGGACGACACGGGAGCCGTCTGCACACCCTGGGGCTTGGCGGGGCTGCCGCATTCTAAGGACTCGTCAAGGTCCGAGAACGGCTCCGCTGCTCCCCTAAAGGCCTGAAGGATCTGCGTCAGCGTCTCGTCTGCCTCCTCCACCTTATTGATTGCCCCCAGTACGGAGCGGCGTACCACCTCCGGAGCTCTCCTTCGGAACATGACGCCTGCTCCGAGGACTACGACACCGCATAGAGTGAAGAGAGACACAAATCAGGCAGGTAAGATAATGCAGATGAAGAAAGAACACCCAACCACCACCAACAAACAAACAAACACAAACACAAACAAAACACAAGTCGAAACAAACTGCGTATCATGGTTGTTGTTTCCTCTAGCCACCCTTGTGATTCATCGCGAGCCATGCGGGGCAAGAAGGTGCAACACATATCCCACACCCACGTCAATGCCACTCCTCCTAGAAAGAATGGCTCTCTCACGTGGAGCACGGAATGTAACCACGCCAACAGAGTTCGCGTGTGCGGGTGAGGGAGAGAGTGAGGAAAAGACAAAATGTAAAAGCAAAAATCACCTATGGACGCCAGTAAAACAACGAAAACAACACATAAGCTACATAACTTAAAGTTTGGGTTTCATCTCAACTCCACAGAGACGGAAAACTCAAACATTTGCTCCACCCCCATTGGATGAAAGGCTGTTGTTGTTGTTTGTTTCTTTCACGGCATACAGATGACAGCAGCATTGAGTGATTAGCACAGCGGATAAGAGAGCACATCTTTAATTTTCATCCCGTTTCCGCATCAGAAAAACCTGAGCTCACTCGCACAGAGAGATAGAGAGGAGACCAGATCCAGAAGCAAGCCACACTAATTCCCAAATAGCTCCATCTATGTTGATTAAACAGGCTCCATCCATCACATAGTGATAAAGACAACTAAAAAACAAAATAACAATAGGAACAGTGTTATGGCCGTGCGCAAACGCATGAAAAGGAGATACGATAGCAGGCGTCTTGGAAAAGAAAGGATACTATCCCCTTGTTGTTCCCGTATCATCTGCATGTATCTTTGTGGGGAGGCGAGAAAGGCCCCTCCTCGACGCTGCTTCTCGGATCGCTCCATGTCCCTCCGCCGTCCATCATCGTCACTGTCATGCTGCTGCAGGATGACACTTGCCTGTGAAGCCAACGACCTCTTAAGTTCTTCTAACCGCGCCTCTGTAGACTTCAGAAGCCTTGCCTTCAACTCCAGTCGGACTTCCTCTTTAGCCAGAGCCTCCTCCCGCTGGGTTAGTTCAGATGACACGAGTTTGGTCGTGTCATTTTTTCCTTCTCCAAAAGGCACAACGGTTGTTGCACCTGTCGCATCTTGTAGAGCCTCTTCATACCTGCAGCGCCAGAGCTCCGCCTCCTCACGGCTCTCCTGCAGTGCTTTCTGAAGCCCCTGCACAAGGTTCCGATTGTCTTCTGAAAGAGTCAATGATGTGAATGCTTCTTCCCGTATTCGTGCCTCCTCCTCTAGACCATGTATAAGTGCTTCTTGCGAACTCACCTCTCTTTGCAGACGTCCCACCTCCACGTTTAACAGCTGTGACTGTTCCATTCGAGTTGCCAACTCCTTACTCAGCGCTGCCACCTTCTGCGCCAGGCATTGCTCCGACCGCTCCTTCTCCACCCCTGCAGCAGCAATACGCTGGTTGGCAGTTTCAGCCTCGTGTTGCGCCTGCCGCAAAAGCGTCTGCAGTGTCAGGAGTTGTTCCTCACGTTGGTACATGTCCTCCACCCAGCGCTGCCGCTCTACTTCGTGCGTTCGTTGTGTCTCTCGTAGCCTCACAGCAAACCTCTCTTCCAGACCGCGTAGCTCTGAGCGTGCAATCTCTAACTGCTGTTTATGCGCCGCCTCGCTCAACTTCACTAAATGCTGGGACGAAGCTCCGCCTTTGGCTGCATCTTCTGCTTCTGCTTCTTGCTTATCAAGCTGCCTCGCATCATGGGTCATAAGACCGGATAATTCTCTGTACTGTTCCCCCAACCTATCGAGGCGGGTGCGCATCACCGCAGCCTCGTGTTCTGCCTGTACAATCGCCTGCTCTTTTTGTTCTATGACATCGCGAAGCTTTCGTAGCTCTGCCTCATGCTGCTCTGCATCCGTCTTGGCCTTTGACGCGTGCTCCATCCGACTGTTTTCGCGTATTCGGATGACCGTTTCCTCCAGATTCTTTTTGTGCTCCTCCGCCATGCGCCGCTTCTCCTCCCGCAGCTGTGTCATTTGTCGCTGCATATCATTGATTTCCTCATCCTTCATGTTTGTCCGCTCACGAAACTCCTTGTCGAGCTGAACACGTAGTGCCAGCATGTCCTGTTCATGATTGCCTTCGGCGTCCTTCAACTCATCCCGCAGCTGTTTATTTTTCTTTGCCGCCTCACTTAGTTGGATGGCAACCGACTGCTTCCACGCGTTGGTTTTGTCCCGCAGTTGCCGCAGTTCCTCCTCCGCGGAGAGGCCATTGCTCGGGGCCGAAAGAGACACCTTCCCTCCCTCCTCTGCACTCATGGGACGCGCTCGTTAACGCGCCCGCTCTACAGGGAAGCAAGAGAAAGAGAGAGAGAGAGAGATAGAGAGAGATAGAGAGAGATAGATATGCACACCTACGAAAAAAAAAAAGAAACGTATGTGTGCCTGTGTGTTTAAAACCACAAGAGACGAATGAACTTAGTCAATCTCACAACGGAGTTAGCACAAGGCCTTGGTATCCAGCTGAGGTTTGGAAAGCACGCATGCCAGCTAGCATCTTCGTGCCCCGGGATCCTTGTAGTTAGGCGTGTCCCCTCCTTCGCCTTTTCACACGCCCAAAATCAATTCCGTGTTCCAGAGAAAAAAAAAAACCTTCCCGCACCCCGCTTTCCGATACATGGTCCGCGAGAGCTGCACCGCCAACGTCAACCACGACGCTTAAAACATGCAAAATAAGGTGCTACGTATCCTCTTCTTAAGTCGGTCGAGGTGGCTCACGACTACCGTCTT